CCCCCACCCACCACCACCACCAGTTGCGGTTCTGAAATAAGCAAGATGTTTTCAAAACATGTCTGGCACTTTGGAGAAAATCCAGCAGTCGCTGGAGGGATTGTGTATCCCCTCTGGCCTGGGACCGTCTCAGAGTCCCCCAGGACATGGAGGGTGTCGCTGGGGAGAGGGAAGTCTGGGTCTCTCTGCTGCTACCCCCGCAGCCCAATCCCGGATAAGCCGGCGGGACGGACAATTTATATTGTTAGTCTAAATTATTACATTTAAAATTATAACTCTAATTCAAGCAGAATAGCCTACTGTCAACAGAATTATGGAGTGTAATTTATTTTCAACTCAAAATATCTTGAAACTAACGAAATATAAAGTTATTAGGGAGGAAAATCTGTCTGGATAAGAGCAGACTGACTGCTTGTAAAATATACGACAGGTCTGGACCACTAGTGAATTTTGTTCGTATCTGAAAAAATCTTAGAATACGAAAACATTGGTGAATGCCACAAATTCTCCTAAATCACTCGCACGCACAACTTAACAAACCTGTGCGTACGAACGGTTCTTGCATGAGGCCCAATGGTTCCAAAAAAGAGCTGTTTTTTACCTCTTTTTAAATAAAGCAGTAATCATCTATACAAATAGACTTTTGCTGTATGCTTACGTAAGCAAAACAAAGCAAGCTTTTCTCTGAATGTGTTTTTATGATTTTATAGTACCGTAAGTAACAAACAGTGCATGAGTCAAAATGCCTCTCTGGAAAATAAATGTTGCCTATCCCTGTCCTAGAAAACTGTACAAAGTGATAATTAAGGATTGCTACTACTGGCCACATCCGTGACACCAACTGTCCCAGTTCCATATATTGATCACTGTAAAGCAGGTCATCAATGAGCACTGATAGAAATATAGCAGGATATCCGATGATGGGATATCAGTTCTGTGGTTTCCACTGGAGATGCTGGTAACTTTATCACTACACAGCACRTTATCAATATATACATGCAGCACACTGAACACAGCACATAGTGGGTGTAGTCTGAATCCTGATTGTTGACACAAAAGTGGAAATCCCAATGCTTGTGGAAATAAGGCCAGAAAAACTGCTTTGGTGGAAATAATTCAAAAAAATACAAACAAATCACTATGAAATTGTTTGTGGCTAAAATATGCACTGACTTATTTAAAAAGATCTTATTTTCAGACAATTTCTATAATGAGCTGAATTCAAGCTTTTTCTTAAGATCAAAACAAATCTGATGATTTCACAAACGATGGAAACACTAAAACAATACTGCCTTTACAATGTGGATAAATAAAGGCTATTTTTAATTTAACCTATTAAAGGATGGTTAAAAAATATATGTAGCACAGTTTAACCATCAATGCAGTGACCTTCATTTTATTAGCATGGAAAACAAGTGCCATGCCCTGTTAAATGGGAATTTCCCAAACTCCGATCCCCTGAAGTGTATCATAATCTGGTGTTGATGCACAAAGCTGATCAATGATGCACTGAGCTTGTGTTACTTGTGTGTCTGACTGACAGGTAACATTACAGTACTGCTGCCATCTCCTGGCAGACACATCCTTTTCACACTTCATCCAACAGATATTGAAATACCACAGGCCACACAAGAGGTGCATGACAAAACTGACATGCCTCAAATTTTAAAGTACCGTAGCTTTATCTCATTTAAAGAGGCAGAGCTGACCGAGAGCTTAACTGATYGCTAATGCTAAGGCACTTGAAAGATAAAAATTATGTGTCACTCATGCATAAAAACTGTGGTAGCACAGAACTGGAAGTACTCATACAAAAGCAGGTTTGTTGCAGTGCTACTCAAAGGCATTTGTCCCACCCATCACATTTCTCCTTTTATCGGCCATTTTAACACAGACTTTATTGTACATAAAGGCATCTTTGTATGGGGAGGAAAAAAAAGAGATGAAAAGGAAACCCTACAACTGCACAGACTCTTTAAATTTAAGAATTTCTACATTTTCAAATTACTGATTAGCAAAACATTTTGTCAAAAACACACAAAAAACTAACAAAAGAGATGAACCAGATCCTGTTTCCAGCTTCATGAACATGACAATGGACCAGCTGCCCACACCCGCCTTCACTAGAATTCACAGTATGCC